ACACACACACACACACACACACATATTTATATACACAAAAAGTATACAGTAGATGAGGACTTGGGCCAGGCATAAGGTAGTAAAATCTCACTTCAGGTGTCTTTAGGTTCTAAAAAGTCAGACAATAAAACATGGTGAATAATGTAGTTGGGAAAGAAGCAAGAATGTTCTAGTTTGCTTTCACACTGCTGTGATGAAAACACTGACTAAAACCAACTTGGAGGGGAAAGGGTTTATGTGGCTCACATCTCACAGGTTGCAGTTCATCACTGAGGGAGCCCAAGGTAGGCACTCAGGGCAGGAATCTGGAGGCAGGAACTGAAGCACAGGCCACGGAGGAATGCTGCTTACTGTCTTGCTCTCCTGGCCCATACTCAGCCTTCTTATACAATACAAGACTACCTGCCTAGGGATGGTACCGCCCATAGTGGGCTGGACCCTCCCACATCACTCAACAATCAAGAAAATGCCCCACAGACATGGCCACAGGCCAGTCCAATGGAAGCAATTCCACAATTGCAGTTCCCTCTTCCCAGGTCTGTCAAGTTGACAACTAAAGCTATCCAGCACAAAGAGATTCACATTTTAATACAAGACTAAGCAATGGGTGGTCAGGAGAGGGCTATAGCTAACATAAGTGGGGGAAATGGCAGGAGGAAATTGGTTTAGAAGAAAAGTGACAACTGTGATTTGGACACAAGTACATTTAGGGTAGTGGTGGCCTCCAACCCCCACCCTCACCCCTACTCCCACCTCACTGCTTATGCCATTCTGTATGCTACTGTGGTCCCAAGTCATGTTCCTACATAAACACAATGACATGCCCCCCCATATAACACAATCACCCTGCATGATGCAAAAGCAAGTTAAAATGGAGAAAATTATAAATACAAAAATATGCCTCAAGCTGTCGGCTTCCACAAAGATACCTGTGACCTCATATTCAAATTTTAAGAAAAACAACACAATTATATGAAAAGACGCACAACGTTTTTTTAGATTTGAGGGAGATGCAAATTAAAACCACAATGAAACACTAGTTCAAAACTATCAGAATGGCTGATTTCTTTAGATCAGCTAACACATAATAGTGAGGGTGCAGAACTGCATCTCACACACGCTGGCCAGAACGTGGAATGCATAGCTGCTTTGGGCAACACCTTGACACTTCTCATAAAATGGCATATACTCACCTTCTGGCCCAGCAGCACCACTCCCAGGCAGCTTTCTGAGAGAAGCAAAAACATGTACAGGCAAAATACTACATAAAGGTATTTGAAACAGCCTAATGATAACCATCAACTGGGACCAGCTCAAGTGTGCGTCAGTAGTGAGTGGAGCCACCACCGTGAAACAGCAGTGATAAAAAGGAGTCAGTGCCCATGCAAAAACCGACACAGGCTCAGCAGTACCAAAGAGGAGGAGCGCAAGGCACCGTGTGCATACTGCCTGCTCATGTGACACTGTGGAAAGCAGCTCTGGGTAGAGGGCTCTGACAACTAAAGGCATGACAGAACTTCTGGGTAGCTGCAACTATTCTTTATTTTCATATGGTGGTAGCTTAAACACCTGTCAAAACTAATAAAGGTGTTAGGACAGAGGAGGGTGTATGGGGAGGGAATAACTAATGTTAAAAGTCTTTAGAAAACCTACATGGAAACCTACCACTACAGAAGCCACTTAAAGTATCTACATATACATTATAAAGAGATTAAAAGACGTTACCTTATAATAGGAGGACATTACCATAGGCTAGCAGAGTAAAGGCTCAATGCCAGGAATGGACTCCCTCTTTTGAAACTGTTGACCAGGCATCCCATAGACCCTCAAAAATACTGGCCATTGCCCCTGCTCTTGGTTACCATCAGAGCTTCACAGTAAGACCCCATTGCTGAAGACACTACATACATAAACTGTAGAACAAAGAAGGAGAAATCAAGCTGGTGCGGACTTCAAAACCTCATCTCTACTGGCTAGCTTTCATAGTGCTGGAAGGTGCTATACAATCTCCCTAAAGAGAAAATTTATCATCAACTCACCCAGCTGCATATCCTGCAAGTTACACCAACTGGCCTGGCAAGGTATGCCCACCGGTGCAATAGTAACATGCACATTACAGGAGTAATTAACTACTTTCTAACTGGATTTAAGGTCTGCTTCATAACATGGAGCCCATACCTGACACTGATATTGGGCCTAGGAACCAGAGGCTAGACAGATCATGGGAGAAAGCCTAACACAATTATTTTGTTAAATAGATACAATAATAAACTGATTCCTAATGATTTATTGTTACACCCATAGATTAACACATCTCTCTCAGCAGAGAAGTTTCCTTATGCAGCAGATGGTGATTAACGTGGAGAACCACAACTAGCCAACATACAGAAAATAAGAGACTGCAGAGTGCCTATCCCTGAATAGGATACCCATATTAAACTTCTGTCTCCCGAGGTCCAGGGATCATTGTGGAAGAGGGGGCAGAAAGATTGTAAGAGCCAGAGGAGATGTATGATCACAAGAAAACAGTTTTCCAAACAGCTAGTCAGTTACCCATATGAACTCTCAACAATGGTGAAAACATGTAGCAGTCCCACATAAGCTCAACCAGACAAAATCCCAGCATAGACATGAGGAAATGGGTAAGAAACCCCCAACCCTACTGGAGGAACTACTAGTAACCAAAGGCTGTTGGGAAGGGGAGATAAGGTCTTAAGGGTGAAACTCTGGGTAGGTGGACCAGGCTCCAGTGGATGCTCCCACACTGAAGGGCATTTGGGGACATAAACTTGACTCTATATACTTATATGCACACACAAATACATGAATATGCATATATATGAGTATGGGAAATTTGGTGGGGGTAGTAAGGGGGTGTAGGTAGGGGAAGGGATCTAAATATAATCAAAATATATTGTATGAAGTTCACAAAAATTTAATTAAAATGGAGAAAAACTAATAAAGGGTAAAATTTACTGTATGCACACTATTCATGGAAAAAAACTTTAAAATATATAGCACTTTACACATACTTAAAAACCTTTAAACACAGGACTGTTATCTATGATTACTATGAAAACTCCTAGTCATTTCTTAACTAGCTAGACTTCTACAAATACTCCTGAAATATCGGAAAAAAATGAAGCTGTGCATCTTCTCTTGGGCTTCCACACATTCTTCTGCTGGCTCAGAGTGCCAGGGTGTACGGTGCAGAATCTGTGTGAACGCTGGCTAATGAGGCACACATAAAATGACTCTTGTTTGCGGGACAGCTGTTGGCCACCCCGCTCTTCTGTCACACACTAAAAAGGAGAACTGCTATGCAGCTGAAATGTGACCTTCCCACTGAGTAGCCGTTACATCACGTCTTGAAACACTGCCTGAGGTGTGCATGTGCACACCTGGTCACCAAAGTGCTTAAGTGGAGGTCAGAGAACAAGTTGTGGAAGTTTCTCTCCTCCTAACTAGGTCCTTGGAACAGAACTCAGGACATCAGGCTTTGAGGCAAACACCTGAATTTCCTGAGCCATCTCTCCAGTCCCAGTTTACTTTATAAAAGAGCAATGTTTTGAATCAATTTATTTCAGAGTGCCAAATAACTCATGATATATTTTTAAAGCTATTTACTGTAAGTATTCTATGCACAGCAACTCTGTATTGCTTTTTCTTTCCTTTCTTTCTTTTTCTTTTTCCTGCAGTAATGGGATTTAATTCAGGGTCTTGAATATGCTAGACAAGCTCTTGTACCCTGCCCCCTTTTAGTTTTATATTACCTAATTCCTACCTAGATAGTCTGCTATTTTACTGTTGGTGATTTATGAGCCAATTTCACTTGAACTTTCCATCTTTCTTAGCCATTATCTTAATAAGACATACATTTTATATTACAACTCAGTATGTTATGGGTGTGTGTTCACAGCACAAAACACTGAAGTTTTACTTATTTTTACCAAATAAGATAGTCTCTAGTATTCTCCTCCACTGATCTGTATCAAGACCACAATGATCAGTACCACTGCCCTAATGAAAACCTAAGGCAATGTCTATACATATTTTCCTTATTTACTCATTTATTTATGTGATATGTGTGTGTGTGAGAGAGAGAGCAAGAGAATGAGAAAGCGAGAGAGGGAAAGAGAGGACCATAGAGTGTGTGTGGGGAGCAGAGGGCAAAGTTTTTGGAAGCAGCCACCATCTTCTTGTCCCTGCCACTGTGCAGTATCCTCTAGGATACCTGGCCTGCAAGCTTCCAGTATTCTGTCTGAGCAGGGTGCTGGATTACAGATGTGCACCACTGCACCCTACTGTCTACATGGGTTCTGAGGATGGAACTCAGATCACCAGGCCTGCGTGCCAAATGCTTTTACCAGCTAAGGTATCTTCCCATCCCTCTATGCATATTTTAAACACAAGTTTAAAGTTTTCTTTTCTTTCTAAACAAAATGAGTGGTCCCTGCCCCCCCGGGATGACTTGTCCCTTGGAGCTCCCTGGGGGTCAGCAGCAGAGGTGGACAGTCAGAGCCCCAAAGCACTGATGTTGCTCTTTCTGCCTGCCCAGACTTGTGAACTAGAGACCCTGGCTTTTGCAGTCTTCACACATTCAGGGCCTTGCTGTTTTTGATGTATGTCTATTTATCCTCATAGCTATTCCTTAACCTTTGCATATGCACACATACATACATGCACACACAGACACAGACAGAAATGCAACTCAACTAAGAGAAGAAAGAAATAACAGTAGTTCAGAAAAAAGTTAAGCAAGGTTTCTGTTTTTTTTGTTAACATTTGTGGGTCTCAGTTACTCCTGCTATGCTCAATCCTGACACCACACGCACCTGAACAAGGAGCACAGGCTAAATTAGCCTGCACAGCATATGGAAACAGTATTTTCAACTGCTGGTGATTTGGAGTTTTAGAACTTCTAGTCAATATTATCTTCTGTTGCATACTCAAACTGCTAGGCATTAGAGAAAACTTTTATATGAAGATTGAAAACTTACCTTTAGGAACTCCCACAAGGGAAACTGGACCAAGGAGAAAGGAATCTGGATAGAGAGAAAAACAAGCAAATGAAAACCATCAGTGGTATACCTGGCATTATGATAAGAACCTATAATTATTGCAGGCATTGTTTCATTTCAATCTTATGGCTACCACAAGGCCAATAGTAAGCAAGTTCACTGGTATGGTACAGATTTAGAAAAACATATACACCTTGGCCACAGGTTCTCCAACTTTTCAAGTCCAAGGAACATAGAGAACACTGTGAAACCCTGTGAAATGGAGAGAGAAGGCCAGCACGGATGGGGCGGACACAGAAATGATACAGTAGCATCCCCCACAGTAGGGGACAGAACAGTAAAGGCTGACCAGTTTCTGTGTAAGAACTGCACCTTAGCAAGCAGAGCAAGAGTCCAGAAGAGCAATGCAACAGGAAAACAGGTGAGGAAGGTTAAAAAAGGAAGAGGTGGAGGATAGAGACAGTAGAGAGAAGGAAGAAGAAAGTAGAGAGAGGAAAAGGAGGAATAAAGGAGAGTGAGGAGGACAGAACAGAGTGGAGGGGCGGATACAGATGGGATAAGGGGGGCGAGAAGGAAAGGGAGGATGTGGGGAGAAGGAAGGAGAGGTGGGAGGACGGGGAGAAGGAGGCTGGGGGAGAGAAAGGGACAGAGACACGTACAGGAGCATGCTGACACACAAACTCCAGGAGGCTGCCAACTGTATGGCAGTGAACAGCCGTACCCTGAGGAAGGAAAGCTGGAGGGATGGAGCTCCACAGACACAAAACTGGACTGGTGCACTTGACTAAGTCAGGGAGAAAGTCTCCTGCAGTCACCGAGAGAGGCCCACTTCACCACCAGACTTGCAGAAGTGTTCCCAGTGAGTAGTCTGACTATACGGACCAGAATGGCCAAGTACTCCTAAATCACTCTTTACTAAATCTTGCTAACAACCCAATAAGCCAGTCAGTCTCATGGGCACCCTCCTGAGGAGCCTGGGGTTCAGAGAAGTGGTGCAACCTGCCTAAATACAAACACAGTTAGGACTTGAGTCATGCCATCTGACTGAACCCTTCTACTTTACCTCAAAGGCATCTAACCATATTTATCTGCTTATAAATTGACCCACAGCACAATCTAAGTTTTTAATAGTTTTTTTTTTTTTAATTCTAAAACAGAAACCACATTTACATTTCCTCCAATAAAAATGCCTGAACTCCAGTGCCAGGGGTGGAGCTTGGGGCTCACTGTGGCCCAGTGTCGCTGGTCTCTATTCAGCTTAGCTGAGGTGACAGCAGATGTGAATGGGAATTGTACAATCAGGTGCATTCCCACACCTCCTGGAGGAATCAGCAGCCATTCAACAGTTATTTATCATCACCTGAATTCAAGGCAGGACGTTATTTCTAAAATATTTGTGTTTAATCAGAAGCTCAAAGTCCACCAACATCTAACTCTATTAAAGCAAATAGTGACCCTAAGTGTGACAGAAAGTGGCCACAGCCAGAAAAATCTATATTCTATTCAGACTGGAAATGGCAGGGAAGAAAGAAAGAAAGAAAGAAAGAAAGAAAGAAAGAAAGAAAGAAAGAA